TTTAAAGGCAATGAATGCCATTATCTTCCGAGATGATTTTTTGTCTATTAGGTTCCCACCAGCAGGGTTTGAGAGTAACCATTGCTCTCTAACTTGTTACATAGACTGTAAAATTGTTGACCATCTTTTTGATGTGAAATGTTATCTCATTTTTAGTTGGAATTTTCCTAATTAGTAATAAGGTTGAGCATTCTTTCATTTTTGGCCGTTTGTGTTTCCTCATATGTGAAATTTTTCTTCATATTTTCTGCTGATTTTTCTATTTAATTGTTTGCCTTTTTCTTATTGATTGGTAGGGATACCTTTTATATTCTTGATATTAATCCCTTTTTTTGGATTTATGTGTTGCAGATATCTTCTCCCTGTCGATGACTTGTGTTTTTACACTCTCGTGATGAACTGAAGAGATAAATTTTATTGCAGTTGCATTTATCAGTCTTTTGCTTATGGTTTGTGCTTTTTGTTTAAGAACTCCTTCTATAGCCTGAAGTTATAAAGATATTATATTTCCTTCTAAAATAGATTTTTTTTTTGGTGTGACATGAAATAGGGGTAAAATTAGGTTTTTTCCCCATACAGCTATCCAGATGTCCCACTACCTTTTATTGAAAGGCTATCCTTTTCTACTGATGTGCAGTGTCAGCCCTGTGTGCTATCAAATTTTCATATGCTCCATCCTATTTTATACCAATACATATACTGTAATTATTACAACTTTATAATAAATCATGCTATCCATTGGGGTTTATCTTTCTACCTTGCCCCTCTTCGTGAGTGGGCTACCTTAGCTGTTTTTAGCTTTTTGCTCTTCTGCATATGCTTTTTTTTTTAAAGGAGCTCTGGTAGTACAGTGCCTGAGGCACTTGACTGCTAACCAGAAGGCTGGTGGTTCAAACCCACCAGCCACTCCTTGGAAGGAAGGTTGGGCAATCTACTTCCATAGTGATACTGCCTTGGAAACCCAAGGAGGAGTCACTATGAGTCAGGTCCGACTTGATAGCACATAACAACAACATATGCTTTAAAAACAACTTATCAGGGTTGATACATAATTCCTGTTGGAGCTGTATGGGGATTTAGGAGTCCTTATGGAGCACTGGTTAAGCATCAACTGCTAACTGAAAGGTTGGCAGTTTGAACCCACCAGCCGTGCCATTGGAGAAAGATGTGGCAGTCTGCTTCCATAAAGATTACAGCCTTAGAAAACTTATGGGGCAGTTCTACTCTGTCCTATAAGTTGCTAGAAGTTAGAATCAACTCAGTGGCAACAAATATTGACTCTGTAAATAAATTTGGTGAGATACGGCAGCTTTATAATAATTGAGACTACCTAACTCTCACTGTTTGTCTCGTACATCTTTATCCCTAGATATCTTATATTTTTATTGCTATGGTATATTTTTTAATTAAGAAACTTTTTTTTTTTTTTTATTAAATAGGCTATGGTAGAAGTCCTGGCTGGTACAAATGGTTAAGTCTTCAACTGCTAATCAGAAGGTTGGCAGTTAGAACTCACTCAGAGGTGCCTCAAAAGAGAGGCCTGGCAATTTGTTCTGGAAAAGTCATAACCTTTCACCTTACAGAGCAACAGAGCAGTTCTAGTCTGCACACAGGGTTGCCATGTGTTGGAATTTGGCTTTAAATCAACTGTTTTTTCCTCCAAATTTTCCAATGATGTCTTTTTTTTTTTTTTTAAAGTACCTAGGATCTAATCAAGGAGTGTTTATTCTACTTACTGTATCTCTTTAGTCTTCCTTACTCTATAGCAGTCTCCCTGCTCTTAGAGAGGGGCTCATCCAAAGTGTAGTTCAGTTATATTATAGAATGCTTACAATCTGGACTAACTTTATTGTTTTCTCAAAATTAGATTTAGGTTAAACCTTTTGGTAAGAATATTAAGTATTTCCGGTTACGTCACTTTGTGCCGTTGTTCATAATGCTAAGTTTGAGTACTTAAGGTGATAGCTGACAGATCAGTTAAGATACCTTTCCCCTTATGGAACTATGGGCATTATTTTGATTGTGTTTTTATAACAGCTTTATTGATATGTAATACATATACCATACAATTCACCCGTTTAAAGTGTACAACTCAGTGGTTTTCAGTTTGTTCACAGAGTTGTGCAGCTGTCACCACAATCAGTTTTAGGACATTTTCATTATTCCAGAAAGAAACTTCGAACACCTTAGCAGTCATTCCCCACTTCCACTGACCACTCAATCCCAGCCCCGGTAACCACTAATCTACTTTCTGTCTCTATAGATTTGCCTTTTCTGGACATACTATGTAAATTAGTGTTCTTTTGTGATTGACTTATTTCATTAAGCATTATTTTTTAAGCTTCATCCATGTTGTGGTCTCTTTCTTTTTTATTGCCAAATAATACTCTGTTGTGTGAATATGCTCTATTTTGCTTACCCTATCATTAGTTAATGAACATTGGAGTTTCCACTTTTTGCCTATAATGAATAATGATTATTTTAGCATTAATGTACATGTTTTTGTGTGTATGTATTTTCATTTTTTTTTGAGTATATACACCTAGGAATGCAATTGCTTGGTCATTTAGTATTCTCTTTTTAGAATACTATATTTAACTTTTGAGAAACTGCCACATTGTTTTCTGAAGCATCTGTACCATTTTGCATTCCCACTGACAAATGTGTGAAGGTTCTGTTTTGTCCACATCGTCACCAACACTTGTTGTTATCTGTCTTTTTGTTTCTAGCCAACGTAACATTTGTAAAGTGGCATCTCATTGTGGTTTTGATTTGATTTTTCTAATGATTAATGATGATGAGCATCTTTTCAGTGCTTGTTAGTCATTTGTATATCTTTTGAAGAAGTATCTGTTCAGAACATTTGCCCAATTTAAAAGTTGAGATATTTGTCTTTTTATTACTGAGTTGTAGAAGTTCTTTATTCTGTATGTAAGTTTCTTTCTTTAAAGAAAATCATATTTTTGGTAGAAGGGTTCATAGCAAAAATAGGTTCCCATTTGACTTCTACACATACTATTCAGTGTCATTGGTTACTTTCTTCACAGTTTATCAACATTCCTACTATTTCTGTTCTAGTTCTTCTGTTCCCATTAGCCTAGTCTCATAGCTTCTCATCTTTGTTAAAGTATTTGTTGACCATTTGGTCTCATTAAAAGAGAGCAGTACTCAAGGATGATAGATAATAATTTCTTTATGAGCTAACCTTCTGTTTAGCTAGAAGGTTATTTGAGGGATTAGTTTCAGTTCAGGACTGAAAAAATTATCTCAAGGCAGTAGTCTCAGGGATTCCTCCTGACTCAGTGGGTCTAGTAAGTCTGGATTTCTCTCCCCCCTCATTTTCTATCAGGATCCATCCATCTATTGTGGTCCTGATCAGAACCTGTATACAGGTATCTTAACAGATACATGATTTACAAATATTTTCTCCTATTCTGGGGGTTGTCTTTTCACTTTCTTGATAGTTTCGTTTGAGGCCCAAAAGTTTTTAATTTTGATGGTTTCTAATAGATGTGTTTTTTCTTTTGTTGCTTGTGCTTTACATGTCATATCTAAGATACCATTGTCTAATCCAGGGTCGCAAAAATTTACGACTGTTTTCTTCTAAGAGTTTTATAGTTTTTGTTGTTACTTTTAGGTCTTGATTCACTTTGAGTGAATTTTTGTATGTAATATGAGATAGGAGTCCCAATTCATTCTTTTACGTGTGGATATCTGGTTGTTCCAGCACCATCTGTTGCAAAGATAATGTTTCTCAAATGAATTTTCTTGGCAGCCTTGTCAAAAACCAGTTGACCATAGACGTGTGAATTTATTTCTGGACTCTGAATTCTATTGCATTGATCTTTGTGTTTATCCTTCTTCCAGTAGTAGCACAAAGTCTTGGATAGCTTTTGTGGAATCTTTGATTTTTTTTTTTAATTAAATGTTCATGTGCAGACAATTCATTTACCTTTTTAAAATTGATCTTTTATCTAACTGCGTCTTACAGTTATTTTCGGTAAATTATTTTGGATTTTCCATATAGCTGGTAATAATCTGTGGATTATGACAACTTTCTTATTTTCCAGTCCTTATATTTTTTGTTTCTTTTATTGTCCTACTGCATTAGACAGTGTTTCCAGAACAGTGGTGAAAAAAAGCAGTAGCAGTAGACATCTTTGTCTTACTAATGTTTTAAAAGAAATTTATTTAACATTTTATCAATAATTTTAAAGTTTGTTGTGGGATTTTCCTGGGTACTCTGAGCCTAAGGATATTGTTTATTATTCCTGATTAACTTGGAGTTTTATCCCAACTGGAGGTTGAATGTTATCAAATACTTCATCTATTGAGTTGATTGATTGTCCCTTAATCTGGTCAAGATAATTGATTTTTATTGATTTCTTATGTTAACTCAATATCTCATTCTACAATGAAGTCAATGGATCTTAACGTATAGTCTTTTTTAAACATTTGTTAGTATTGTGTTTATATTTTTTGCATCTGTGATCATGCATGAGTTTGTTCTTTTTCCTTTCTTTACTGTTCCTGACTGGTTTGTCGTATACCAAGGTGTTATGCTGACTTCAGAAAATGAGCTGAGGAATATATCCTCTCAGTGGTGTAATAGTTTGTGTGAGACTAAAAATGTCTATTCCTTGAATGTTTGATATTTATCTGATGTTTTTCGATGATTAATAAGGATACTGTTTCACCTGTAGGTATGGGATATAGATTTTACTTTGTGGCATGAGACTGCAGAAGAGGTTATTTGATTCATTGCATTTCAGCAGCTTGTTATTTCTGGACCATTGGCTAGTCTAAGGTTACAGTGTAGCTGTAAGTTACTCATTTGACTCTGGCACAGAGTAACAAAGTTGTTGTTACACAGATGAGCCATTGTAGCTACTGAGGATATCTAGTTTTGTGAATGTCTTTGCATTTTTTCCTACACCACGAACACAATAGTCTTGCTTCTTTCCTATACAGCCTAATTAAATTTTCTGTTTGTCTTACAGAAGTGATAGACCTTACTCATGATAACAAAGATGATCTTCAGGCTGCCATTGCTTTGAGTCTACTGGAATCCCCCAAAATTCAAGCTGATGGAAAAGATCTCAATAGGTTATTGATTTATTTTAAAATCTTTGTTCCTCATATTAATGTGTAGGTCACAGGCAGTATCTCTTTGTCACTCAAAAACAATTCTGCATAACTTCTTTATTTAAACCTGAATGAAATTTCTTTTAGAAGAAATTTGAATTCACGTTAGTTTTTTTTAGTCCTTGGGCCACTTTTGAAAAAGCAAAATGATGGTGCCCAGCTACCACTGTTACCCACTCAGAGGGGGATCTATGTAGAAGATCCTGGATAGAGAAAGAGAACAATGTGAAACAAAACTCAAAATCATTTGGAAAAAAAAAAGAGGGGCGGACCAGGTTTGCTGGTCTGATAGAGCCTGGTGGATTGAGACTATGGCCCCTAGCTGCCCTTCAGGTCTGGAATTGAACTCACACCTGTGGCTTTCAGCCAAACAAAAGACAGGCATATGAGGTGAACATTTGCCTGAGGTAGATACACTCCTTTGAGAGAACAATCGTGGGAGAAAGAAGGGCTGTTTATGCACAGGGAGACAGCTCAGGGGGCAGGAATGCAAGGAGGGATGGACACAGGGAAGAGGTAACTATCAGGAGGAAGTGGGAGGGGAGCTGTTGCATGGGGGGTAAATCATAGTCAATGTCATGAGACAAAGTATATGTGAACTACTGTATGGAAAGTGAATTTGCTAAACTTCTACCCAAATCACAATAAAAATAAATAAAATAAAATGCATGCTTGTAACTTAAAAAAATAAATAAAAAGAGAGAGAAAGAAAAAATAAAAGCAAAATATGACTAAGATCTTATAGCAGGCCATAGGCTTTTGAATAGAAGCTTGCAAGGTTTTGTTGTTCATAACTGCTGGGAGAGGTAAAAAAACAAACAAACAAAAAAAACCTGGCCCACGTGTCTGATAAATTTCTATTCCTTTTATTAACTTTGAGCATTATATTATTGGGTGTTTGAAAATGAAAGTTATCACTCAACTACCCTGCCTCAGAAGGGACCAGGGAATATATATATATATTTTGATTGCTACTGATTTGGTGATTGTCTGGCATTATTCACAAGAATCCAGTTCTGAGAGTGCTTAGTTTCTGGACATGGTTATTCCCTCACACTGCTGAATTATTTTTATCAGGGAAACAGAAGGCTGGATTTTATGTGCTAGGCAGTTGGGAGGCTCTTATCCTTAGCAGAGTTTCTTTCTTGCCCTTTTAATGGCAAGGTCTGAGATAAGGCACTATTGTTGAAATCTAAAACTTTTTATATAGTAGCCATAAATAGTCTTAAGTCTCAACTCAGTTCCATCATGGATCTTATTAGTAATAATCACCGTGATGGAAGGTTTAATTAACATTCCTATGTTTAAACTTTGCTTTTCACATATGTTATTATCTTATAGTTACTTTGTAGCCAGTAATTACCCAGTAAATAGCTTATCCAGCATTTTGAATTGTCTACAAAAGATTATCCCCATCTTCCATGTAGTGTACTGTTCTTTACTTTTTTTTTTTTTCGATGTGCTGTGTTAACACAACATAGGATGCCTGAAGCACCCTCAGCAGACACTAAACGATCAAAGAGAAAACGTTGTGAAGCCTGGGGAGAAAATCCTAATCCCAATGACTGGAGGAGAGTTGATGGTTGGCCAGTGGGGCTGAAAAATGTTGGCAATACATGTTGGTTTAATGCTGTAATCCAGGTATGATAATTTTAAGAGACAAATGTGTCTTCTGGAAATAATTTTGCAATTTATTAAACTGAAATGTGAGAAGCATGGCTTTTAAAAAGTGGAAAGAGACAAATGTGGGGTATTTTTTCAATGATTTTATTTTATTTTTTAATTTTTTTTGTATTTTGGATTTAGATGCTTTGAAGGCTAAATTGAACAGTACTTAAAAAAAAATCTGTGGTTGCAAATATGATGAATAGGTACTTCAGATTCACATTTAGTGAATGCTGTATTACAGCTGCAGAGGAGTGAAAAAGGAGAAAACACTTGTTGAAAAGGTACCATAGAATCTAGGCAGGAGATGATACCTGAAACAGAGAAGTGGCAAAAGTCATGGAAGGAAAGCAGCTAAAACATTCTATAGGTAATTTAGAGATCACACCTATAGAATTTGGTGAGTGATTGGATATGGAGTATATACAGGGGAGATTTGAAAAAGACTCCAAGGTTTCTAGCCTGAATAACCAGGTGGTTAATCCATTTGACACTGGAGGGAGGAGTAATTTGGATATCTTTTAAGAGTAGGACATCAGCGCAGTTTTAGACATTGTGAGTTTGAGGTGACTGTGTAAGACATCATGTAGACAGTTAAGTAAATGAATATGTAGTTCAGGAAAAGGATCTGAATTACAGATATACTTTTGGCAATCAGTAGTATACAGATAGTAATAAACCCAGGGGAGTGAAGGAATTCACGGAAAAGGAGTATTGCCTGGAAAATATCTCCTAGGCATCTTAAACATCACGTATGCACAATACAGCACTTCATTCCTACCCCTGCAGTCTTCTCTGACATGGTACATGGCCTCTACCCAGCTGCTCAAGCCAACAAATGAAATCCTCCCTTTCTCTTACCCCATCGTCACTGCAAAAAGGACAAGGAGGCCACATGTTCTGACCTCCTCTAATCACACAACAGGAAGACAGACTCACCATCAACAGCCCAAGGCCTATTCCTGCCAGGCCAGACATGCTGCCTCCCTCCAGCCCTTTCTCCAACCGTTCCTCCCAAAGCATCCACCATCTCTCTCCTGGGTTCGATAATTCGCTGCAGTGGCCACACAGAACTCACAGATTATGGAGTTTATTAGGGAAGCATCAGGTTACAATTCAAGTTCAGGAAAAATGCTCAGTCTCTCTCCCAGCCCACCATCAGTCTCTTCCCCAGCAGTGCATGTCCCTCGGTGTCTTACTCAGCAATGTGTGTCTCTTGCATCTCTTCCCAGCAAAACGTGTCTCTTTCAGGAGTGCATGTCTCTTTCAGCAGCATGTCTTCCTCAACCAACAGAGAAAGTTCTGCCTCTAGGAGGCCTCCTTTTGAGCTTGGCAGAGTGGCCAAACCAACCAATCATAACAACAGAATTCTAAGCACCTGAGAGTGAGCCTCCTATAACATTGCATTGTGCCACGCCCAACAGAAATAACCCAGGTGGATAACATTTACAATCAGGAGCTCCTCAGTTGCTCATTTCACCACTGAGTTTACAATGACTTATGGGTAGAAAAGCCATACTAAGTAATTTACTACACTGCAGCCACCAAGTTGACTATGTGCCTGGCACTGGCTGTTTCAGGCACTGGGGAAACAGCAGCTGATGAAATAAGGCCCCTGCTCTTACAGAATTTACTTTGAAAAGAGTGGGATAGACAGTTAACAAATTTTATATCTGGTGGTGAGTGCCATAAAAACAAATGAATGGTGGTAAAGGGGCTGGGCCAGAGAAGGTCCAACTGGAGAGGCTAAGAGTTGTGGTTATGTAGGATGGTAGGAGATGGCTTTTTTGGTGGGCATTTGAGCAGAGGCCTGGAGGAGGCAAGGAAATGACCTATATAATTACCTAAAAAAAAATTCCAGACAGTTGGAACAGTAAGTAAAAAGGCCCAGGTTCAGGGACTTGATTAATGTATTTGAGAGAGAGAAAGAAAGCCAGTGTGATTTGACTGCTAACCAGAAGTCTGGGGGTTCAAACCCACCAGCCACTCCTTGGAAGGAAGACTGGGCAATCTACTTCCATAGAGGCACTGCCTTGGAAACCAAAGGAGGGGCTGCTGTGAGTTGATGAATCGACTCTACGACAGTGAGTGAGTTATTAAAGGGAAAGGGAGAAAATGCTGAGGTCAGATAAGTATAGTGGAGGTGTGTGGGGATTTTAATTATATATGAGATGAGAAAACATTGGAAGATTTGGAGCAGAGAAGTAGCATGATTCTTCTTCCATTTTAAAAGGATCATTGGCATCTGTTCAAAATAGAAGGTAGAGAGGTAATGTAGAATTAGGGATATGAGTTAGCTCTCTCCTATCTAAAAAAAATTGTACATGTCTTTGAATTGTGGTGTTGGTGTAGAATACTGAAAATACTATGGCCTTCTAGAAGAATGAGCTAATCTGCCCTGAAAGTATAGCTAGAATGCTCCTTGGAAGCAAGAATGGCCAGACATTGTCTTTGGTCATGTTGTCAGAAGGGACTATTCATTCCTTGAAAAAGGATGTCATGCTTGGTAAAGTGGAGGATCGATGAAAAAATGGAAGACCCTCAGCGAGATGGACTGACACACAGTGGCTGCAACAATGGCCTCAAGTACAGCAAAGATTGTGAGGATGGCACACAAGCGGGCAGTGTTTGTTCTGTTGTACACAGGGTTGCTAGGAGTTGGAGCTGACTCCACGACAGCTAACAACACTATGTGAAAAAGAAAGAAAAAAGAATTCTCCCTTCATTCATATCCCCTCAACCTTCACTCCTATGAGAGATGTTGGAAAGAACCAGCAATTAGAGAGGATACTAAAGTTTTTGAGAAAGCATTATGTTTAGAGTAGATATGGAGGGATTAGCCTTAGGCAGAGAAGAGGGAGTCATAGAGCAAGGAAGAGGGGAGAAATGAAGGCTGTACATGGAAGCTGAAATAGTTCCTAATAGGCTTATTTTTCCTCCATGAAAATAAGGAGCCATTTCCTGAGATGGGAGAATTAACAGTCAGATTTCAAAGAGTGGAATTTGTTGTTATAGACAATGGGGTTTAATTGGTACCAGGAAAACAATAGTAAGATTTCTAAAAATCAGAGTTTCTACTTGAGGTTCTAAAAACTTCTAATTGAGGTTATTAACCTTAAATGTATTGTGATGTCAGCATATTGTGTTTTTATCAGGACTTTCCCTTAGCAGCACTCGGAAACTCTTAGAGGATAATTCGGTTCATTTAGGTTGGAGGGTTTACTGGGTACATGTGATGAAAAGACAAAAGGGCAGTTTGAGAATTTAATGAATTGAGCTTAAAACTAGATAGAGGGAAAAATGACATAGGAAGGGGCTAAAAGATAAGTTCCTGATTAAGTAAAAAAACAGGTGTTCTATGGGTGATTGAACAAATAAGCCAGAAAAGAGGTCTAAGAGTGAGATTTCCTGAGTTTCTGATCTGAGAATTAGGACCTTTTCAGGTGTTGACATATCCTGGGTATAGCCTTATATATGGGTACAAGAGATGGAGTGGAGGAATATGTCACTGGGTAGATGACACTCAAGAAACCAGGAGGTTGCCATAACCAATATTTGTTGAATACTTAACCTGCTATATGTCTACTACTGTTCCAAGCCTTGAGATACAGGAGTGAGCAAAACAAAGAGAGAGCCCTGTCCTTATGGAATTGAAATTCTTGTGTGGTGAGACAGACAATGAACAGTAAACATCATAATCTGTGTAGTATGTTAGACTGTGATTGGTGTGATAGAGAGGAAAGGTCAGGCAAGGGATATTGGAATTGCTGTGGGGGAGGAGGAGAGCAAGTTGTATACCAACTGTGATGTTAGATTAAGCCTCACTGAGTTGGTGAGATCTGAATAAATATCCAGGAAGTGAGAGTGAGCAGCTTGTGGGAGGAGAGCATTCCAGGTAGGAGGAACCATAGAGCAATGGTTTGGTGTGTTCAAGGAACATCAAGGGTTGTCCAGAAAGCAAAGACAAAAGAGAGAGTCATCAGAAATGAGATTAGAATGCAAACAGCCAAGGGGGAGAGCTGTGGGAGATGAGGTTGGAGAGGGAATTTGTCTTTTATTCTGAGTGAGGATTCTACATTGTGGATGGAGGAACTCTGACCTGAGTTTTCAAGGACTCATGCTGGCTACTGTGAGGAGAATAGAAAGGAGGGGACAAGGATACAAATGGAGAAACTTGTTGTGTTAGACTGGGTTCTCTAGAGAAACAAAACTAGTAAAGCTTATATATAGAGAGAAAGAGAATTTATCTTAGGAAAATGGCTCACACACTTACAGAAGCTGGCAAGTCCAAAGTTCTTGGATCAAACGTCAAGCTGGAGGCTTTTCTTGATTCTCACAGCTGTAGGGGCTGAGGAACTCAAAGTTGACAGGCAGTATACTGGCTGATGACTCCAACGAATGACGAATCCAAGATCTCCAAGCTGAATGGTGGATTGTTCACTCATAGACAGTTGTAGGCAGCACAACAGAATCCCGATCCACAGAAGAATGTCTCTTTTCCCAGGATGTCCATAAATATCTGGAATAGACCACACCCCTAGGGAAACTCCCTTTCAATTTATTGGCTGCTCAAAACATATACATCTGATCGCATCATGGGAATAACCACAATTATAGAATTGTGGTCCAGCCAAGTTGACACACCTGTTAACGTGGCTATAGCAGTAGTCTATATGAGAGACAGTGACTTGGGCCAGGCTTGTAGCAGTGGAAGTAGATAAGTGGTTGGATTAATGATATATTTCTAAGGTACTGTTGACAGGATGTCCCTATGGATCAGATGTTGACTGAAGTCACTAGAAAGGTGACAGGACTTGCAATAGTCAGGAGAACTATTACCAGATAGTATAATGTCTCAGGGTCTTTATTTTGGTCTATGTTAGATAGATAGTTTGAGGAATCTGTGAGGGAAGTGGATTGATGAGGGAAAGGTCTGGAGGCAGGAGACAAAGAACAGTGGTGGGAATATGATTAGAGTTGTTGGTGCGAAACTGGTAGGGAGGAGGTGGGTATAAATAGCACCTCAGAGGCAGAGTCCAAGGGACTTGTTACTTACTGGATGTGGACAGTGAGTTAAGAAATGGAAGGAATTCAAAGATTATTCTTAAATTCTAAACTTCGGTCACTAGAGCAGAGGATATAACTAAGTGGTATAGAAGACAAAAGCAGCAGCGGATATTGGTGAAGGCATCATCATATTGATGTTGAGCTGGCAAATGTGAGTAGTATTAACTCACACTTTTGTGTTTTTTTAAAGAATAATGGTATCAGTGGGGAAAGCCAGATTTTGATGAAAGTGAAGGAGTTGAAGCATGGGATTAAGAAAGTACTGCCATTTTTCTCATGGTAAAACAGAAGCCCCAGCTAGAGACTATTGGTGAGGTAGTCAGCAGAGTAAGAATGAAACTGGGAGGAATGGAGATATGTTAGGTCGGTCTAAGGTGAAGCAGAAAGAGAAAGAGTGAGCTGAGGATAGAGGAACCAATCTGCCTCTAATTTCTAGATAGAACTTTGGTATAATAGCAGGACCTATATTTAAATTCCTAGCCCATTCTAAAAACTCATGCTATTGGTTGATACCCATCAGGACATGTGATTTGTTGTTGTTGTTGTTAAGTGCCGTCGAGTCGTTTCCGACTCATAGCGACCCCATGCACAGCAGAACGAAACACTGCCCGATCCCGCGCCAGCCCCACAATCCCTGCTATACTCGAGCCCATCATTGCAGCCACTGTATCAATCCATCTCCCTGAAGGCCTCCCCCTCTTTCGTCGACCCTCCACCCTACCAAGCATGACATCCTTCTCCAGGGAATGGTCCCTTCTTACAACATGACCAAAATAGGTGAGACGAAGTCTGGCCATTCTTGCTTCCAAGGAGCATTCTGGCTGCACTTCCTCCAGGACACATCTGTTAGTTCTTTTAGCAGTCCACGGTACTTTCAGCATTCTTCGCCAGCACCACAACTCAAAAGCATCAACTCTTCTTCGGTCTTCCCTATTCATTGTCCAGCTCTCACATGCATACCAGGCGATTGGAAATATGATAGAGTCCAGGAAATCAGAAAGGGTGGTACATGGGATCTGGTCAGGTTTAAGAATTTTGATGCTTTGTTTAACATTAGAAGGTATATCTGGGTTTTTTTGAATACCAATAAAATATTTACTTATTTCTGATTTCAAAGTTTTGCCTATTGTCTACCTAGAATGCTGCTTCAAGAGTTCTAGTATACAGAGAGGTTTTTTATTGAAGGAGTATGTTAGAATGAGGAGTCATATTCATACAAGGACTTTTTTAAAAAACAACAGATAATTGTTTGTAGAAAAATGTATGATTTAAAAACAATGAAAAGAATTCCTCTCCATAGTCTTGCCGCCCAGAGATACCTGTTAAAAATTTTTAAATGCAATATTTAAAACAAAGAACGAAGAGAGTAGTATACACTGCTGTACTTACCACTCAACTTAAGGAATGAAATGTTACAGATTCCTGTGTTGTAGGTCTCTATTGTACCTCTCCGTGCATACTCCCTTCCCTACAGAAATAATCACGTGCATCTCTAAACAATGTTAAACTTAATATAAACAGCATTCAATATGTGTGTGTGTGTGTATACTGTATTTTTCTGGAACTTTTGCACTCAAAATATGTTTCTGAGATTTACCCATGTTGAAACACCTTGCTCTTATTCATTCATTTTCACTGCTATATGTTGTTGTTGTTGTTGTTATGTGCCATCGAGTCAGACCTGACTCATAATGACCCCTCCTTGGGTTTCCGAGGCAGTATCACTACGGAAGTAGATTGCCCCATCTTCCTTCCGAGGAGTGGCTGGTGGGTTTGAACCGCCAGCCTCACTGCTATATAGTAGTCCATTTTGTGAAAACGTTTTTAATAATATTATTTTAATGACTGCATAGTATTCTATATGGTTTATTTAATGCTGTTCTTGTTAACCATTAAGTTGGCTCAAAGGGTTTAACATTCCTTCAGCGAAATTTTTGTGCATAGCCATAATTATTTCCTTAGAAATAGGAGAAGTAGAATTTCACCTTTAAGATGAAAGAAGTATTTTTTGTTGTAGTTATTTTGAGAGAAAGACTATGAATTCATTTCTTTCTTATTTCAGTCTCTCTTTCAATTGCCCAAATTTCGAAGACTTGTTCTCAGCTACAGTCTGCCACAAAATGTACTTGAAAATTGTCGAAGTCACACAGTAAGTTGGTGTTGGGGAATTTCCTTACCATTGTTTAGTCCCAAAGGCTTTTTCAGTTTTATTTAAAGCTGATGACTGTGATACTCTTTGTCTTGTCTTCATATTTGTTTCACTTCTAAGTGACCCTTTTTCCTTCTTTGTGGCAAGAAGTAAGGGTTTGCATAAATGTAAAGTAGGAATAATATTAGAAAAACTTCCTGAAAAGCATGATGCGTC